GGCTCGCAGTGCACTACGTTTCCCAGAATGCACTGCATTGTAACCAACTTCCCGCGAGATCCTCACTGTCCGAGAGTGCTTTTCTCAACAGAAGTAGGCAACTTGAAGTTCGGAAAGTATTCCTTGGTATGATCACCAGTTTGAAAGAAAACTTCTTACAGAAGCTGTTTGGTGTACCCTGGAACTTCCCAGTCTTTTTTTTCCCCCCTGCAGAACATTGTGCTTGGCATCAGGCATCTGGCAAAGAGCGACTGCACGACCCAGATCCAGGTAGTTAAGTCTTCCAGCGCTGGACCACATTTCTCGAGGTCCTTTGCGGTCACAGCACTCCGCAGGATCGCAGTCTCTTCCTCCCCTGAAAGTTTCCATTGGCTTCCCAAATGCGGCTTCTAGGGGCACTCCTGGACAAATGCGTGGACAAGTGGCAACGGCTGAGTAGGGGACCACCCTCAAAACACAAGCAAGAACAGTCATTTTACGGGAATCAGATTGTTCCCTAAGGCCTTAAGGACTTCTCCAGAACCAGCTTGCAGAACCAGTCCTGAGATAAAGATTGCTCAGACCCAACTTGACCAGAATTACATACCTTACCAACTATGCAAACCCCCAGCCCTTGACCTTGTTTCCCCCGAAGTTTTTTTTTTGACACCGGTCTCACTCTGTAATACAGGCTGACCTGAAACTCACCTTGAGGCTCGGGCTGGCCTTGAACTCCGACCTCGCCTCCCCCGTGCTGGGATTACAGGTGTACCCCACCACACTCAGCTTGATCTTTTCTACACAATCCTAAGGTTCATGTCAGTTCCTGGAACACAGATTTTTTTTTTTTTTTTTTTTTGACAGGGTCGCGCTCCGTAATTCAGGCTGGCCTTGAACTCATTATGTAGCTGGCCTCAAATTTGAAGCGATCCTCCTGCTTTAGCCCAGGCTTGTGCCACCGTGCCTGGCTGACAGATCTTGAACTCTTACCTGTGCTTCCAGCATGGCCATGGCTCTTTTCCTACCCTTCACCACTATTCATTTCCTTGATTGGTGTTTTGGGACCATTATCGGGTTTTTAAGGTGCTGGTGTCGCCCATGAGAGGTGGTTTCTAGGTTCTTTTTGTCCTGATCAAATAATTTGTCAAGAGAAGTGTAAATGATAGCAAGGTTTTACATTTATTAAAGGTAGGAAAAGAAGCAGTCTCTGCAGAGTGAGTGTGGGCCAAGTAAAAGTTTGTTTGTTTGTTTTTTAAGTAAAAGTATTTTTTTTAAAAAAAGTACACTCTACAGCATAAGAGTAAAACCTAGAGTGAAAGAACGTAGTAGAGGAAAACTCAATGTGGATTTTCCTTTTTATTTTATTTTTTTAAATTTTATTTTATTTTAGATTTTTTTCCGGTACTGGGAATCGAACTCACAGCCTCGCACTTGCCAAGCAAGCACCGTGCCACTGAGCTAAATCCCCCAGGCCCAGATTTTCCTTTTTTTTTTTTGGTTTTTCTCCAGTACCGGGAACCGAACTCACGACCTTGCACTTGCCAGGGAGGCGCTTTTGCCGCTGAGCTAAATCCCCAGCCCCCAGGTTTTCCTTTTTATATCACTCATTCCTCAGGCAGATGTCATCTCTAAGCCACTCTACTGAAAAATTGCTCAAGTTCTCAAGAAAAATCCATGAAAAGGACTCCGGGAATTGTTGTGGGTATTTGTCCTGGAATTTTGTTATTAAGAGATCACACCTACTTCTCTTGTCACCTTTGCCATTCCCTAGTCTTCTGCCTCAGGACTGATGGCCATAGTCTGTTGGGGCACTGTGAGCCAGGGCTTTCACTGTAAAACTCAAGTAGCATTGTTGCGTATGTGTTCATCAGTGAGAGTGATGTAAATATTTTTCTCTTGAGTATCTTTTAAAGTTCATTGTCTATTTTATCTCATAAAATAGAGTATGTTCTGACTTTTAGCAGGTTTTTTTTGTTGTTGTTGTTCCTTAATAAAGATGTCATCTAATCTACAATTGTCTTATTGGAAATGTTTGTAAATGGATTAAATTTCTTTAGTAGAAATAGTATTGTTTAGATTGTCTGTTACACCACATAGCAGATTTGGATCATTGCATGTTACTAGGAACTTGTTTCTTCTAAATTTTCAAATTTAGTTCCTACATAGGAAATCCTTTTTTGTCTTTTAAAAACACAATAAATGTAGTTCAGGCTGGCCTCAAACTCACTGTGTAGTCCAGGATGGCCTCAAATTTTCAGCAATCTTCCTGCCTCAGCTTCTTGCCGGCTGGGATTACAGGTGTGTGCCACTACACCCAACAACATCATATTCCTAGATCAACATCTGTCCTTCCACATCATGGTGCACACCTTTAATCCTAGCTACTCAAGAGGAGGCTGAGGCAGGAAAACCAAAAGTTAAAGCCCAGCATGGGCAATTTAGCAAGATCCTATCTCTAAGTAAAATTTTAAAAGGGAAAGGCTGGACCACCCTGAACCCCTGTATCAGATTGTGCCCCCTATAGCTACTTTAAACTGCAGTCCTTTTTTGTCTTCTAACTTTCTGGTTAACACCCTCCCCCGTAGCTTTGTGCTTTAGTTTTCATTTCCAGTATTACTGAAAGCAAGGACTCAAGCTAACCAAAGTGACCACTAATTAAAACTGTTTCAAAAGCCAGGCGTGGTGCACACCTATAATCCCAGCACTTGGGAGGCTGAGGCAGGAGGATTGCTGTGAGTTCAAGGCTGGCCTGGGCTATTGTTTTAGTTACCTTTCTCTAAGACAAAATACCTGACGCCCAATATTAAGGAAGGAAAAGTTTATTTAGGTCACAGTTTGTGGAGGTTTCAGTCTGTACTTGGCTGGTGCCAAGGCGCCAAGGCAGAGTGGCTCATGGCACAGGGCAACAGTTCAGGGTGGGGGAAAGTAGCAAACGCAGCAAGAGCAAAAAGGGCGGGGGAGCAAGCCTCTTATCCCCCCTTATATTATATACTGGCTATCCACCCATGCCCGCACCATCTCTGGGCTCTCCTCTGGCACAGGCGCCGGATGAATACAAAGTAAGGACCCTGGTCCCCATTCAATCACTTAGTTAACCTTCTAAACTTATCAAATTGACACAATGAACAACATCCTACAGCGGAAGGTCATGTCCTTTTCACCCAGAATGTAGAACTGCTGAGTACTTAGTCAAGCCTCTAGACTCAAGTTGACACAATGTATCAACCATAACAGCTACATATTGAGTTCAAGCCCAGTTTGAACTACAGTGAGCCCCTATCTCAAAAACAAAAAATCAAAATTCTCCACTGAGAATGAGAATGCAACCCAACCACAACCAGCTTGTCAATTTTTTAAAAGTTACTTTTTCTATGTTTTATAAGCTGGAGCTACCAGAGGGAACAAGCAAGAATGTCTGCCTTCAAAAATTTAGATCTAGTCTTGGTTCACTAGCATCTTCTATTCCACTTAGGACACACCCTCTTTTGTTTGTTTGAGAGGGAGTTTTTGTTCCAGGCTTGCCTCAATCTGGAGACCCCCCTGCTTCATCCTCCCAAATTACAGGCTTCTAGCACCGTTCCAGGCTTGGGTACATACTCGTAGACACTGGCACCAGAAAACCAGCTAGGCGCGGTGACACCTGGTTGTAACCCTTGGCACTTCCTTGCGCATGCGCCTTGCTAGCATATTGAAAACAAAGTCCCGCAGAGCTGGTGTTTGCGCTTAGTGCTTCCGGCTGCTTTCCCAGGGGGATTTTTGGACTCCGGCCTGTTTTTCCCACAAGCCTCCGCGGCCTCGGATATTCAGGCTTCAACTACATTTCCCAGAGAGCAACGGGCGAACTCGGTCTGTGGTTTTCTTTCTTTGCGTGGTTTTTGAGCTTTTCGGGGTAAGTTAAACTTCTTCCAGAATGCTGTAAACTGAAAGTACTCACCGACAGGACTCTGGGAAACTGGATTAAATTGCAGCCAGCCCTGAATCGCCCGGAGCTAGAAAAAGCCTTTCAAAGAATGGAAGCCCGCAGTATGGAAGGCTGTTTGTAAACCGGAATCCAAGGCCAGTGTATTGGTGAACCTGGTGTGTGTGTGTGTGTGTGTGTGTGTGTGTGTGTGTGTGTGTGTGTGTGTGAGAGAGAGAGAGAGAGAGAGAGAGAGAGACAGACAGACAGACAGACAGACAGACAGACAGACAGAGATGGGAAACGTAGGCGACCTCGTGAGAGACAGTGAGAGGCAGGCAGGCAGGCACAGAGAAAGTTGCGAGCGAGAGGGCTGGGATATGCCTGCCCGTCTCTGCGCTTTTGCGAGGGGCAGCGGGTGGTGTGCTCGCGTCATGGGGCGGTGAGGTACGTGTCTGTTTCGTGTGCGTCGATTGCTGTGCCTCTGTCACTAGGATCCGTTGTAGGTTCCCTGCTACTTCCTTTGCCCTTTCCCTTAACAGCTACTCGGGTCTCTCAGAAACGTCTGCAAAAACAAAGTCTGATGCTAAAACCTAAACGGGTTTTCCGGCAATCAAGCATTGCCTTGCTGTTGGATTGGGAGTGCCTGAGACTTCTTTGGGAAATTTGAGGGCCAGCTAGCTGCATGTCTCAGAACCTCAGTTTCCCAGAGCTGTGACGCCAGGAATCGTCGTGAGCCTACATAGATTCCAGCCTCTCTGCTCCCTTTGTCTGCTTATGAGCAAGGGGGATGTGGACCTGCATGAAGTTATAACTAAGTCATTCTGTCCAAGAACGGCCCATGACTCATGACCCTTTTCCCCTCTCTGGTTCTGCTGTTTTCCCAAAGAAGGATCCTGATGTAAAGAATTGTTTGATATTTAAAAATCAATGTTTAGGGCCCGGGGTATAGCTCAGCGGCAGGGCGCCTGCCTGGCAAGTGCAAAGTCCCGAGTTCGATCAAAACAAAACAAAACAAAACAAAAAACAGTGTTTAAGTTAGTGGAGTTTTGTTGTTGTCGTTGTTGGTTAGTTTGTTTTGCTTTGGCGTTGTGGTTTTTTTTCTGGTACTGGGGATCGAACCCAGGGCCTTTGCACTGAGCTAGCCCTTAAAAATTTTTTTTTTCCTTAATGTTGAGTCAGGGTCTTGCTAACTTGCTAAACTTGACAGGATGGGCTCGAACTTTCTAAATCTCCTGATTCAGCCTCCTGGAGTGCCCTCATGCCCAGCTTTCAACAGTAAATAACTGCAGAATAATGAGTCATTTATATGCACTATCTTGGGTCTGATCTATCCTACTTTACACATTTTCTTCCGTTATTGAGGTTTGAACCCAGGATCTTTGCACCGAGCTGCATCCCCAACGCTTTTTGTTTTTTTTTACTTGAGAAAAAGTCTCGCTAAATATCCTCATTGCCCAAGTTGGGCTCCATCTTGCAATGCACCTGCATCAGCTTCCCATATGCTGAGATTACATGTGCACACAGCCATAATCAGCTGGCTTTTTCCAAGAGGTTTAGACGTAGGGGTCCAGAATCAAGAACAACAATTTTTCTGTTTATAATTACTTGAAAAATTTGCATTCAGCATTATAGAAATTAAGTAAATGGTTAATACATATGATTAAATATTATGCAGCTAATAGCTATTTTTATACAGTTAGACATAAAGAAGATATATAGTATATTAAGAAATATTCTTATTAATCATTAATAAAAATTTAAATTATATATCAATCTCACTTAATTAGGTTTTGTGAGAACTTTTGAAAGGATTGAATCTAAATATTTTAATCGGAGATTTAGCTCAGTGGCACAGTGCCTGCCTGGCAAGTGCAAGGTTGAGTTCAATTCCTGGTACTGGAAGAAAAACCCAAAATAAATAAATAAATAAATATTTTAATTACTTATTGAGGAAAGAGCATAATGTGGCTATATTTTATTGCAGTTTATTTTGTTTCACCCTTTCATTTTTCCTGCACTGATTCAATCTGAAAATCAATGGTTTTAAACATTTCTATAGCTGTTAGCTTAAGTCATCTGCTTTGTGGAACTTTTGGAAGTGAACTGTATGTAACTGGGTGTTTGAGCAGAGATGTCTACATCGAGAAGGGGAGGAGCATACTTAGATGACTCCTAAGAAGTAATTATTTCTGATCAGGTGTTGTTTGCAGTGTGGCAGCCTGTGGTTTCAGGAACATCACTGTATGGTCTGTGAGAGGCAGTGTGATGTGACATTGAAGACAATGGGCCCTGGATACCTAAATTTGGTTTGTATCTCAGCTCCTTCAATTCTTATACGTATAAGTCTGGGCATTGTATTCACTCAGACTGTGTCGGACCTCATCTAGAACAACTCTAGGATCCCAAACTCTATTTGTACAGCAGGTTCAAACTGGCTTCAGTTTAAGTTGAGAGAACACTTGGCGATACTGTCTTTCTCTGATGAGACTATCCTTATCACATGGCTGATGACAGCTTTCAGATGGTGTGGGGGCAGGCACTGGGGATTGATCCCAGGGCCTTTGCAGTGCACTACATCCCCAGCCCTTTTTATTTCTTTATTTTGATATAGGGTCTTGTTAAGTTGCCCGGGCTGGGCTTAAATTTGAGATCTTCCTGCCTCAGTCCCCCAGAGTACTGGGATTACATCTACTCATACTTGAGATGTATGTTATTATAGGACCTACTTCACAGGAGTGTCATGAGAGTAAAAAGGTAAAGCCTGTGACATCAGAGGCTGCAACATGAGTGCTCAACAAATATTAACTGTTGAGCTGGGCGTGGTGATGCACACTTGTAATCCCAGCACTTGGGAGCCTGAGGCAGGAAGATCATCCTGAGTGGAGGCCAGCCTGGGCTACAAAGTGATTTCAAGGCCAGCCTGAACTGCATAATGAAACCCTCTCTCAAAAAGACAAAAAAAAAAAAAATATTAACTATTGTGTCATGATTCTATGACCTTCAGGGTTTGGTAGTAACATATGTGAAAGGAATTGACGATTATTTGCAAGTTATGAAAATTATCAGGAGGTTCAGTGGGTAAAGAACAAGGATTCTTTATCAATCTTCAACCTTTTCATTGCTCTCTTGGTTCCAAGGAACTGCAAACCATTTAAAGTTGCAAACCATTAAAATTCAGAAGTGTTGTATATTCTTGAGATTATCAAGATAAACATGACCAAAAAGATTTAGAGCTATTGGTTTAAAAACAAAACAGTAATAGTAGAGATGATTATATAAAATAAGGATCATGAGTTTGAGGACAACCTTGACTACATAGTGAGTTCAAGACCAGCCTGAACTACATAGCAAGACCCTGTCTCACAAAAACCAAAAGAACTCTTTTTCTGTTTGCTTTTTATGTATTCTTTCACTCTGTTAATTTCACTTACATGAAGTATATTCATTCACAGAGAGATCTTGATAACAAAAAGTTTGAATTACACTAATAACTGAAGGTTGTCCATGACATGGTAAGTATTATTTCAATCACATTGTTTTTCCAATTTAGTGTTAGAGTTCACAGTTTTCTTCATGAGTATCCTTCCTCATAATTTTAGTGTTTATTTTAAGAAATACTTGGATATGAACTCACTTACATAGTCCAAGCCAGTCTTGAGCTCATGGCAATTTTCCTGCCTCAGCCACCCAAGTGCTGAGATTATAGGCATGCACCACTCATATAGATTTTTATTTCTGGTATTACCTCTTAAGTTTTCAAAGCAAGTGCACAGCTGATGTGAAACTGTTGATGTTTATTCTAAACCTGCAATACATATTGAAATTTTAATACTTTATTGATATTTTATGTTTCTGTTAACTACACAGTACGTAATATAATAACAAACACCTGACCAAGACCAGTGAGATGGCCAAGTATGTCCTATAAAAAAGGCCAAGAAAGCAGAAAACATGTGCTATCAGTGTAAATGATACCTGTATGTGGAATGTGATGTTTTCATGTATGAGACTGCCTTAGTGTGAAAATTGAAGTAAAGATTATTTTTTCATAGAGTGGTATTAGTATTTTCATTGTAGTTCATATAGAAATTATTTGTGTTCTTTCTTAGACTGTACACCAAAAACCAGTTGACGTTGAAAATTTTGGTGCTTTTTTATAAACAATAAATATTTAAAAAGTAATACTTAATTTTTGTGATTTTTTTCTGTTAAGCACTTATTGTTAGATATAATAAAACTCATACAATTAAAATTAATAGTTCATTAATAAAAATATTCTAAAGAATAAATGTGGGTTTGACTCACACATGTTTATGGGCCTTTATAATAAAAATGTGTCATATTCTTTCCAGTTTTTTTTTTTTTTGATACTGGGAATGGAACTCAGGACCTTGCACTTGCCAGGCAGAAGCTGTGCCACTGAGCTATATCCCCAGCATGTCATATTCTTAAATATTTTATATGCATTATTTTACTTCTTCAGACTTCTCATATGGTAGGTAATAGTCTTTTCCAGTTCACCAATGAAATTTTAAGATCCCGATATGTCAAATACCAGAGTTTAAATCATAAAGTCATGTCCTTTGAGGACAGCAATATGTTTTAGTTACCTCAAGAGACCACCTTTCCAATATTGCTAATTTTTAAAATCTACCTGCCTCATTCAGTAATTCATCATAAGTGTCTTTTCATTACTTGTTGCTATTGACCATTAAAATGTGGGTATATACAGTACTACAACATAATTCTTTCAACTTATGTGTTAGACATGTTTCCAGTTCTTTATTAAATTTTTTTTTTACTTTTTGAGACAGGGTCTCACTATCTAATTCAGGCTGGCCTTTAACTCACTATGTAGACCAAGCTGGCCTTGAACTTGTGGCAATCCTCCTGCGTCAGCCTCCCATGCATTAAGATTACCTACCAGCAAAAGCCACCACATGTACTGACAAATCAGACATTTAGTTGGATCACAAATGTGTATTATATATACACAATATATTACAAATATTTATATATATCTCCCTGTGAAATTTGCAGTTGGAGTGATGCAGTAACTATTATTTAGTTGCTACTTTTAAATGCTAAGAGTCCAGCAAGATGCATAAACTATGAATAGGAGTAAGTGTACGTCAGTGTATAATAAAGACCACTAAAGAGATTCAAGTGATGTGCCTTGATAATTCATGGCATTGGCTGTATTCTAGCCATCTCTGTAAGATTTGAACAAGTATAACTGAACCAGTGGAATTTGTGTGAAGGGAAGTGGAATTTATTCTGTAAGCCTATAGCCTCTAGTTTTTTTTAAGTGAGATTAATGGATTAAGTAGGTTTAGCAGTTGTCTGGAAGCTGTTATACCTAAGTGACAAAATAAACCTGCCTTTTAACACACATATTGGTGTGTACACATGTACTTGTGTGTACATGCACACATGTATATTTTTAAATTAATTTATGACCAGTGTTAAAATTATGAAATATATTTAAAGCAAAGCATCAGGATCACAACTAAAAAATAATAATGATAATAGGATTCTATAATATGCCAAAATAAATCACTAGACCTTTTCAATGTATTGGTGTTGTGTGACCTCTCTCTTTGTAAATGATTTAATCATACTGTGTTCTATTTTTAATCTTAATTTTCTAATGGCAGTATATCTGAAATATTTTCCATGTCCTTAAGTATGTTTCCCTACTTGCATTTAGTGACTACTTTGTGTTCTGTTACGTGTATGTTCCTAACACAGAACCAGGCCTTTGCAATTTCTTCTTTGCTGTGTTATCTCCCATTTATTGACCAACTTCAGTTGATATGACATGAAAGAGGTGCTAGATTGAATTATGAGGCCTCTTTCAGCCTTAAAGACTGGGAGTGAAGACAGGTGGATCTTCTCATGGAAAGCCAGAGAGCCCAGTCTCAGGTGAAGATCAGGCTTCACTACAGAAGTGAACATGTACTCTGCAACTACACTTTTTTTTCTTTTTGAGACAGGATCTCACTATGCAGTTCAGGCTTGAGCTCACTTTGTAGCCCAGGCTGGTCTCGAACTTGCAGTGATCCTCCTGCCTCAGCCTTCCAGGTGCTGGGATAACAGGCATGTGCCACCACACCTGGCTGCAACTATCTTTCTGTAGCTGGGTTTCTTGGGTTTAGAGGACAGCTCCAATCCATCTGTTTTCCCCTAAATTATGTGTGCAGCTGTAGGAAACTGATTTTGGAAGAAGAAATGGAAAAGCAGAAAGGTTTTATTGAATTAGGTCCTATTAGAAACCTTAAAACCTTTTTTCTTCTATCAGCTCTAGATTCTCAGGAGGTCAAAGTTTTTCCAGTACTGGACCATTGAGAAGGACTGATCAGAGCTTACATTTCTAAAACTATGATCTGTGTAAGTTGATTACTTTTTCTGTTTCCTTGCAATATTAAGGTTTTAGGTAAAGGTAGTTTTTTTATTTTTTATTTTTGTCTTTTTTTGAGATAGGGTCTCACTATGCAGTTCAGGCTGGCTTTGAGCTCACTTTGTAGCTCAGGCTGATCTCGAACTTGCAACGATCCTCCTGCCTCAGCCTCTCCAGTGCTGACTGCTAGGATTACAAACGTGCGCCACCACGCCTGGCTTTATTATTATTATTAACCTAAAGCTTCCTACTTAAGAAGTCCTCATTCAGTTATCTGCTCTCCAGTTTCTCCTAACACAGTGACAGTGACAGCAAATAATTTGGCTTCCTGAGATGTTCACAATAAAATGGATTGTTACATGGCTGGTACAAAATTTATTTGTATAAGCAAAAGTGCTTCTGATATGCTTCGACATAAATGCTGAGCCTGAAGTTTATAGAAATACTGAGATTTTAAAAAAATTTTGCCAAAGCGTCTTCTTTTAAATGGAGAGTTTTAGCTGGGCATGGTGGTTCATGCCTGTAATCCCAGCATTTAGGAGGCTGAGGCAGAAGGATCATTGTGAGTTCGAGATCAGCCTGGGCTACAAAGTGAGCTCAAGGCCAGCCTGAACTGCATAGTGAGACTCAATCTCAAAAAGACCCCCAAAAAAGGAGATTATTATATTAAATTTGGAAAGGACCCATCTTTTTTTAATGGGAAAATACTGTAGAAATTAACATTTAGTGGAAGTTTATCCATCATACCACTAACAAACTGATTGTTTCTAATACTTTATTGAATAAAGAAACTTGAATTTTATTTTATCCATCCCTCAGCAAACATAAACTTTTTCATTTTGTAGACAGAGTTTCATTCTGTGGTTCAGACTGGCCTTGAACTCACTATGTAGACCAGGCTGGCATCAAACTCACAGTGATCCTCCAGGCTCAGCCTCCTGAGTGCTAGGATTACAGGTGTCTGCTATAGGTGTGCGCCACCACACCTGCCTAAACCTAAACTATTGTGGCAGTCCTTGATACACAGAAAGGTTTGTGTGCAGGGATAATATTCTTCAGGAGTAGGTAGATACCTACTTTAGTCTACTACTGCTTATTAGCCAATTTTACAATATCATACCTTTCTTTTCATGTATTTGTTTATTCTCTTTCCTTCTTGAAAATGTTTCTTTACGTATTATGATACCTGTGTTTGTAGTTTCAGGAATTAGTGACATTCAGGGATGTGGCCATAGACTTTTCTCAGCAGGAGTGGGACTACCTGGACCCTAGACAGAGGGACTTGTATAGAGATGTGATGCTGGAGAATTACAGGAACCTCGTTTCTCTGGGTAAGTGTATGTACTGCAAGTAATTTAAAATGTGATGTGTTACCTTTAAACACAAGGAATTTCAAGGCTGTATTTCAAGACTTATGGTGAATTTCTTCTTCTGGACAATTTTAGGTCTACCAATTAATATCTAAGGGGCCAGATTCCAGATTAAAATTCTGTATACTTAATGAATAGCCATTGTGCAGGATAGCTGGTTTCCCCTTGTGCTATTCTAAAAATTCCTGCAGATGAGCTCTGTTATCCTCTGTTGTACTGCAAGGACAAAATTAGAGGAATACTCCTGATTTGCTCTGAGTATAAGAAGAGCCTTTGACTTATACAGCAGTGAGTGGGGTGAACAGTATTCATTTAAAATGAAAGAATCCACATTTTAGTCGTGCAGTGAATTTTTATGACTTATGGTTAAAAGTTTCAGTTCATGAACTTTGCATTCAATATGGAATGAAGATTTTTATAAGACAATCAGGATAGCTTTTTGGCAGCGGGGGTGGGAGAGGGACTCAGGCAAGTCCTCTACCCCTGCCCTTGTTTTAACTTTTAAAACAAGGTCTTGATAAATTTCTAAGGCTGGCCTCAAACTTGCAATGTTCCTGCCTCATTCTCCCAGTAGCTAGGATCCCAGGTATGCATCGCTACACCTGGCAGAATGTTTCTTGTTATGCTCTTATGGAAATAATATTTTATATCCCAGGCACTCTTCTAGTAATCAAATAACTGTACTATAGTAGTGTAATATAGCCAGATTAATTGCCAATACTATGGACTAGTGAGCTGAAGTGACATGATCAAAGTCCTAATATTGGTGCATTTAAGAGGAAAAATTTGTGCCAGAACTGTCTGCCTCCAGAGACTTTTACTGTTTAACTTTCTCTTCAGAGACAGACCTGGCTAAGAGTGGTAGCACATGTTTACAGTCCCAGCTACCGAGAAAGCTGAAGATCACTTGAACCGAGAAGTTTGAGTCTCACCTGGGCAATACCATGAGAACTTATCTCAAAAAAAAAAAAAGATTTTAAAATAAAGTTTCACCATACCTGTCTTATTTCTTAAATTATTATACTCTTTATAAACGTGGGGTGGGAAGTACTAGAACTTGGACCTCAAGACAACCTCTAAGTTACATCCCCAGCTCCTTTAAATTTTTTTTTCCCTTTGGAAGTTAAGTGTGGTGGTGTACACCTCTAGTTCAAACACCGAGAAGGCTGAGGTAGGAGGATTGCCCCACTACCCTGTCTCAAAAAGGCCTCATTCAAAATTTTAAAATTTTGAGACAGAGTATTATTAAGTTGCCCAGTTGAGACTTGAATTTTTGTCTTCTCCCCACACCCCGATACCGGGAATCGAACTCATGACCTTGCGCTTGCCAGGCAGGCGCTGTGCCGCTGAGCTAAATCCCCAGTCCCAAAACTTGAATTTTGATATCCCGCCTCACTCTTTCGAATGCTAGGGATTTTAGGCCTGTGCTATTACTGCTGGTTCTGTCTTTTATCCAAAGTCTTTATCAGAAACATTTAACCTTTAGCTTATTGCAGATTTAATTAAAACTCAAAGGTTTCTGTGACTTTATTTTTATTTTTATGCCATTTCTTTTCTTGTGAACAGGACAATCGATTTCTAAGCCACATGTGATTGATTTATTGGAGCAAGGAAAAGAGCCCTGGATGATTCTGAGGGAAGAAACACGAAGACCTTACACGGGTAAGGAAAGCAGAGAGAGCAGTCAGAGCTGGAACAGCCTACTCCATAAGGGAGAGGAGACACTTGTTTGTATTATTGTTCATCAAGCCCCCTTCCAAGGTACCAAGACTTGTAGAACACAGGCCTGTGACCTCAGAAGAGAATTAAAAATCTCCACATGAGCTATGGAAGGAGCATCAACTTTCCTTTGTTTACCAATCATCCTACTTCTCTTATTTCAAACCTATTTTCAGTGATGGGGCTTTCTTTTTTCTTTGCGCTATTTCAGCTGTATTTTGGGTTCAGTGGCTTTTCAGCACCCCTTTTACATACACATAAACACACAGGCATGGTGTAGAGGTAGTAAATAAAACTTATCAGATCCTGGCTTGTGTGGAATTTACATTATAGTAAATAAAACTTATCAGATCCTGGCTTGTATGGAATTTACATTATATTAGAGTAAGTAGATAGGAAAATAAATAAGATAGGTAGGTAGTGGGGATTGAACCTAAAGCCTTTACACTGAGTACATTTGCACTTCATTTTATACTTTTATTTTGAGACAGAGTCTCCCTAAGCCTACCTAAATAAAATAGGTAGATAGGTAAGCAAATAACATAATGGAATATAAGCAAAGGTTAGGCCATTTTATTTATTCATTCACTTATTTTGTAGCACTGGGGATTGAATCCAGGTCTTTGCCCTGAGCTACATCCCCAGACCTTTTTAAAATTCTTTATTTTGAGACAGGATCTCACTAAGTGGCTGAGTTGCCCAGGCTGGAGTGGAATTTCAGATCCTCCGGCCTCAGCCTCCTAGAGTACCGTAACTACAGGTCTGGGCCACCATGGCCAGTTAGGTTGGGCCATTTTAGATATGAAGGCTGGGGTAACTTCTCTGGAGTGGTAATATTTAAGAAGGGACATGATGTTAGGACATAGACCTTGTGTTTATCTGGGGAAGAATATTCTAAGCTGAGTAAAGACTTTAGAGAAAGACTGCTGGGGCAGTCAGGAGAAAAAATGCGCAGAGTAGAGCAAGGGGAACAGGGAGAATTATGTGAGTTTAAAGAGCACCAAATAGACCATAGTAGAGACCCTGAGAGGACACTGATAAAAAAAAATGAATTCAGAGCTGACTGTTATGACATATTCCTCCAATCTCAGCGCTCCGGGAGGATGCTGCAGGAGGATTACAAGTTCCAGCCCAGCCTGGGCAGCTTAGGGAGACTCTGTCTCAAAATAAAAGTATAAAATGAGGTGCAAATGTACTCAATGTAAAGGCCTTAGGTTCAATCCCCACTACCCCCTGCCAAGAAAAAAAAAAAAAAAAAAGAATTTAGGGCTGGTGAGTGATATAGCTCAGTAGTAGAGTGCCTGCCTATCAAGTCCCTGAGTTCAATCCCCTATGCCACCAAAAGAAAAAAGAAAAAGAAGTAGAATTTTTACTGTTATGAATAACATCATGTGAATTGTTGTGGAACTTGAATTATTAGTAATAAGAATGGAGAATGCTTAAATTCAGTGATATAATTTGTTTTTTATTTTAATTTAAGATATTTCAAACAATGTTAGAGAACATAACATTAAATAAACATATCGCTATACCCAGATCAAGTATTAAAACACTTTTTAACTACTTTAATAAAATTTGAGAGTTACAGGAAGGTTATAATAATGATATACCAGATTCTTTTGTACTTTTTAAGCAGGGTTTTTTTTTTTTTTTTTTTTTTTTTTTTTTTTTTTTTTTTTTTTTTTGAGACACGGTGTCGCTATGCAGTTCAGGCTGGCCTTGAACTCACTTTGTAGCCCAGGCTGGGCCTCGAACTCGCAATGATCCTTCTGCCTCAGCCTCCCAAGTGCTGGGATTACAGGTGTGCACCACCACACCCGGCTTAAGCAGTACTTTTAAACAAAGAGAAGCTTTAGGGTCAGCTTTAAAGCCCTTCTTACGTCTCTTCCCAGTTGCCATCTTATCCCTCCTGAGTATAACTGCTGTTTGTGATTTCTTTTTTCTTTCTTTTTTTTTGGCCATGCCGGGGATTGAACCCGGTGGCCTTGCACATGCCAGGCATGCTCTGTAGCACTGAGCTTTGCTCTCAGCTGCACTATTATGATTTTTGTGTTTTGGTTTTTTTTGAGACAAGCTCTCACTATGTGGTTCTGGCTGGCCTTGAACTCATTGGTTAGCCCAAGGTGGCCTTGAACTCACAGTTGATCCTTCTGCTTCAGTCTCCTGAGTGCTGAGATTATAGGTGTGGGCTACAAGGCCCAGTGTAGGTCTAAAAGTCTTTATGGTTAGATGAAACACCAGAAATAGGAGGAAAATAGCACCACAAAGGAATAGCTCAGCCTGAACAATGTAGTGGTTCCAGCTTATACATCCGATGTGGTTTCTTTGCTCCTTTATGTTCTTTGGATGTGGTTATGGTTTTTGTAGGATTGGAAGCAGTGAACCGCAGATAATTGGTGCTAGATAAAGGAGCCTCCTTTTTTATTTTGGCAGTTTGCTATTTTTGTAACATAGTGATTGGATTGAACACAATTACAATTAAAGTAAAATGGTAACCGATTTTCCCTTCTTCCTGGATGTGCGGTCCAGTGATTAAATATTGATTCAGTGTCTTGCGTATTCCCAAATGAGCAATGTTTGGTACTGCTTCTCTTTGCAGTAGTCTTATGTTTTGCTTGTGGTCCAAAGCTTTGAGGTGTTTCTCTTGTTCAGCGGAGCTCTCACCAGTCAAACATGACAGATTTGATAGAATACGCACTCAATTATCTCAGTGTAAATCCTTTTTTTTTTTTTTTTTTTCTGTTGTTCATTTGGTTTTTACCCCCAAAACTTTTTTTAAAACTTTTTTTATTTTTTTGATCTTTTTGAGACAGGGTCTCACTATGCAGTTCAGGCTGGCCTTGAGCTCACAATGATCCTCCTACCTCAGCCTCCTGAGTGCTGGGGTTACAGGCATGCACCACCATGCCTGGCTTTTCAAACTTTTAAAAAATGTTTTATCAAACAAAGTGTAAAGTATCTTTACAGAGCGGTGTTATAGCAATGTAGGACAGCAGTGTATCATACTGTATGATACATACTAGTGATTATACTCTCTCAGAACTGTTTTTAGTGAAATTAGTCTCAAATGCTTTCTTTCCAGATGATGATTGAGAAGTTAATGTTTTAAAAAGTGCCAGGTACCACAATAGTAACAGAACTTTGCTGTTTTTTAGGGTTTTGTTTATTTCTTTAATAAAGTGTGCTAGATATCCATATAATTTTGTTCAAATGACTGCAAAACCTGGAAAAGCTATTGCTGCTGTTGATGCAGAACATACTATTACTGAGATTTATAGAGAGCCCCCTCCCCAGAATGTGTATATACTTCAGCAGTTCACTGTACTAATACATGTCTGAAAGCTCATGGCCACCACTTTGTGCACCTCTTGTAATAGCAGGGGCCAAAGGTAGCTTGTATTAGTCTCATGATGTCTCAGTAAATTTACTACTAAAATATTTAAACAGGTTTTTCTTTTCCTGAAGGGTGTATACATTTTTGGCACTCTCTGTCCCTCTCTCTCTATATATGTATATATGACATATATCATATATATATGATTTTATAAATGTATGTATATATGATATATCTAATCATATATATGATTTTTTTTTTGGTCTTTTTGAGACAGGGTCTCACTGTGCAGTTCAGACTGGCCTTGAGCTCACTTTGTAGTTCAAGCTGTTCTCGTACTCACAAAGATCCTCCTGCCTCAGCCTTCCGAATGCTAGGATTACAGGCGTGTGCCACCATGCCCAGCACATATATGATTTTTGGAAATTTGAGCTGTGCTGTCAACTTTGGAAATAGTATCCCAGTTCACTATTGTGTTGCTAGCATTATATAGAAATTAACAGCCATATTGGTCTAGAAACTTAATGTTTTTCCATTTGTGCAGGGGTAATGCACTGTATTAAATATGTAAGGTCTTATTTATGTAGGTTTGAGTACAGGAACTAATAAAGTATTGTCTAAATAATGAAAAAAAAAGCCCTAAGCAGTGCCTTTAGTTCTAGCTACTTGCAAGGCTGAGGAGGAAGATGGCTTAAGCTCCACAGTGAGACCTGATCTGTTTCAAAAAAAAACTAAAAAGCTAAAAACCAAAAAAATTTAAGCAATTAACATACTGTTTTATTTTATTTTTTATTTTTTGGTTTTTTTTCTGGTACCGGGAATCAAACTTAGGACCTTGTGCTTCCCAGGCCGGCTCTGTGCCGCTGAGCTAAGTCCCCAGCCCCAACATACTGTTGATAGTAGTAAATGGTAGGCTTCACTCATATTTCACCAGTTTTTCCAGTAATATTTTTTTTCTGTTCTGGAACTTAGATTTAAAATGCCATCTTGATTTTTCTTTACCATCAGTATTGGGGCTTGAACCCAAAGCCTTTGTACTGAATTTTATCCCCAGCCTTTTTTTTTATTTTCGAGACAGTGTCTTGCTGAACTGCCCAGGTTAGGCCCAAACCTGGGATCCCCTCCTCAGCCTGCAGGAGCGCCGGGATTACAGGGGCACACCACCATGCCTGGCGCTGTCTTTTGAATCATTGTTTCCTTCGTCTTTTTTCCAGCCTGTGACAGGTTTGTGGACTTTCCTGTCTGTCGTGTTCTCGATGTTTTCTAAGAGAACAGTTACGTAGAATATTATTCCACCTGGTTGGTTTACTTTCTCATAAGTAAATTCTTTTTTTTTCTTTTTTTTTTTTTTTTTTTTGCTAATAACCCCATACAAAGATGTGATGTCCTTTTTGGTGCATTGTATCAGTATGATGTAAATATGTTATTACTGGTCCTGTTAACATTGATCACTTGGTTAAGGGATGTTTGTCGGGTTTCTCCACAGTAAAATTACTATTTCCCTTTAGAACTGACACATATCTTGAGGGAAATACTGTAAGACAACGCACATATCCTATTTCACCTCCAACTTTCACCTGTTTTTAGCATTCACCAGTGAATTTCACTT